GTGTTCCTCGGACAGAGAGTCAAGAGACGAGCAGCCTCTCCATCCAAGGGAAAGAGGACCCCTAAATGCATCGCGAATAGGGAAACAGGCTTCTTTAATAGTTTGAGGCTTCGACCTGGCATCACTGACCTCTCCTCCCTACCCCCAGCGCCGCCATCTGCTGAGGCAAGGGGCGCTCCTGGAGGCCCTCATTCACCCTGGGAGAGAATGGCCCTGGGGACACCAGCAACCCCACCCCCGTGGGCTGGGGCAGGCTGGCAGGTGGATGAGGTGGGGGAAGATTTTCGCGGATGAGCCACTGGGATGTGGTAGCGATAAACGCGACTGACAGAGAAAACCAGTGCAATCATCCTGCACCTGGTTAGCAAAGCTTACTCCCCGTTTTGCCCCTCATCTTCCAGTCCCAGGATCTGCAGCCGCATAATGACCTCCTGAGGGCAGGTCTCACGTCATTAGCCCGCCTTCAGTTCCCACAGCAAAGCCCCAGGGGGCACAAAGACCATGCAAGAGCCCCAGCTTGGGCTGGACGATAAAGGAAAGAGAGAACAGAAGGGACAGGAAGATGGAGGGAAGGGGACAAGGGGGGGAGGGGAGAAAGAAATAAAGGAAAGAAGTAGCTGGAGAGAGAGGGGGAGGAAGCCTACAAGCGCAGTGCTGGGAAGCGCTGGACCCGGGGCCCCTGAGCGGGGCTGCAAGGCTTTCTGGACACCAGCTGGCTGTGAGAAGGTGCTCAAGCCTGTCCCCAAGGCTCCTGCTGTCCTTTGAAGATGTGGCTGACCTCAGCCTCTTTCCTCTTTGAACTACGGGAAACAAAGGAGTTGCCTAATTGGCTTTAAGAGACCCTCTGAATCAAACCCGGTAGTTGTCCCTGGAGCGGAGTGCGTGAACGAGGCGTGGGAGTGTAGGCCCAACGCACCAAGACACACAACAACCCCAAGTTCATGCCTCTGCAGTACGATATGAAGCCCCTTTGCCCATTAACGTCTTTGTGGGGGGGGGGGTCAGTGCAATGTCCTGCAAACTCCAGTTCACTTGCCCTTGTAGGAAATGTCCTCATTCTTTTTCAAAACTGAGGTTCGTTCTCTGGCCCCTTCAGCATTGAACAACCTCACGCCACGCTCTTTACAAGTTAACACAATCCTTCCTGGTGTAGAGAAGCCCCTTAGCCTGGAAGGAAGTTTTCTGGGGGCATGGAGAGAGATACGGATAGCAAGGAGGACTTTTCTTCTCACCAATGAAGATGCCCTTCGTGAGGGGGACCAGGCCTTATCTTCACCCCTCTCGCACCTGCACAAATACAGGCGGGCTAACCAAAATTACAGAAGAACCCTCCAGCACAAAGGACTCATCTGACCTGAGATCAAACTGAGGCCCAAGGTCACGGCCAGAGCACTGTGGAACAAAGCGGTCAGTCTGCAGACAGCCCTCGGCCAGCAAGGTCAGGCTGGAGGCGCTCGGGGCTGGGGGTGAGGAGACTGAGCTGGGGCGGTGTGGCCACCGGTCCCCCTCTCTAAATGGCCTCTTTGGCTCCGCGTTCTGGTTTTGGAACCGGACCTTGATCTGCTGAGCCTCCAGGCCCACTGGGCTGGCCTGGAGGCCGGCAAGTCTGCAGAGGGAAGTCCTTCTCCAGCTCAGCCAGCGGCTTCCCCTGGGAGAAGCTGGGCACAAGGGGCCGGCAGCCCAGGGTGGGAGGTCAAGGCCAATGTAGCCCGAGGGGAAGCTAGTAGGGCGCCTGGGTGCCTGGGAGACCCTGGCTGGGCCACAGCGGGCTCTCCCTCCTCCTTCCCTCCCTGTGCACCTCCAAATTGGGATCCCCTTTCTGTTAACCCGGTTTCCTGCTCTCCTTTCTTTTCCTCTTTATTTCTCATTTCCCCTCCTTTTGTTTTCTTTCTGCGCCCCCTTCACTGTTTTGTCTCTCTATCCTTCCCTTCCTTCACCTTCCTTCCTTCCTTTCCCCCTTTCCTCTTTGTGCCTTGTTTCTTTGACTTTCTTCTTCCTTGTTTCCTTCCCTTTCCTTTTACTTTCTAGCTCCCTCTTTTCATCCCTGGGCGTTCTCTTCCCTTCCCTTCCCTTCTTTTCCCCCCTCTAACAGAACAAGCGAATCCTGCATCTTCGTCCTGTCCCTTATCAGAATGTCTTCATCTTCACCGTCTCTCCCACTCAACCTCCGGGAAGGCCCTTCCTCTGTCCCCAGCACTGGGGGCTTTCCTGAACCTTTTCTTCCTTCACCAGTCTTTTCTCCTCGTGCTTCTCAAATCTGCTAGTCCTTTGTGCAGTTTCCTCAACCTTCTTTCCTTTGTTTCTAAATCCTCTCTCTGCAACAGGCATTTAGCATAAAACTGCCCCCTCCCCAAGCTGGGGCTCTGTCCTGTGTCAGGCCCGCCATCCTTCATGCCATTCTTTGTCAACTTCTCCCAACGTGGGGGCCAATTGCAAGGGCCCAGGGATGGGACTGTTCCCCTGCGTCGAGAAGTCAGGGCTGAGTCTACAGCTCCCCACTACAGGCTTAGAGGAGCCTTGCCAAACTGCCGTCTCTCTATCAATCCTAATAAAAAAGAGAAAGAGGAAGAGGAGAAAGGACAGAGTAAAAGAGAGACCGCCCCGCAGATTGTGGGAAGAGGTGGGGGAAGTGCTGGGGAGGTAAGGGCAAAAAGGACTGGATTCATCAAGAGGGGGGCAAAGCCCCGTTCTGGGGTTGGGGCAGCCTGAGATCTTCCGCTCAAGTCCTCTGGGCTGGCGAGATTGTAGGGCCACAGGATGGGAGGAGAGAAAAGGGCTTCGTTTTGGTATCAGTCACCTTCATGCCTGCCCCCAGATGGTCCTTCTTAAGGCCCACGCTCTGGAGACCACGTCGCTAGGCCATGCAGGGCTGCGACCCTCCTAAGCCTCTTAGCGGGGAAGCCCCAATTCCGGGGGCTCTGGGGGGAGCAGGTGCCTACAGCCAGCCGCTGCATCACCAGCAGAAAAGCCTCGGGCGCGGCGAAAACAAAGGCCTGGGCGATTCTGCAGCTCCAAACAGGGTAGGGCCAAGCGGCCTCTGGAAGTTGGGGCTGCACAGGGGCCACGGACACCGCGCACTAGTGGGGGAATTTTTCCTCCTGGGATGCACAACCCCTCCCGGCCCTTTCCAAGAACTGGTTCAAATTAGCCCTCGGCAGCCTGCCCGGCTCTTTAGGGCAGGACCCACAAACCTCAGGTGCAACGGAGACCATCCGGCCTAAGCCAGGCCTCCCCTTTCTAGAACGCAGGGCTGGAGAGTTCCCCCCGCCCTGCTAGTGCACCTGCAGCAGCCTCTGCCCTCACCTGCTTTCCCAGGTCACACAGCAAGCTGGCTCCCCTTGCCCCCGCCCTGGCCTGTGCACTCCCCCAACTCTGGACCCGGGGACTCCCAAGTTCAGTGGAGCCTTCTGAACCCACCCTCTGCCCTTGACTCCTTTTAGAAGAGCCGTCTCTTCCTCCCAGGACTTCTCGTGTGTGTGTGGATGAGAGGCAATCTCAGCCCCAGAACGGGGGCCAGAGTCTCATTTCTTTGCCCTCCCTTGAGCGCTGGAAAAAGTAGGAAGATTGTACTGGGGGTGGGGGGTGGCGGGGAGGAGCACTCCTCTGACTTCATCTTAGGGAGATGGGTCTCTGGATCAAAATGGATTTATAAGGAAAAGAAGAAGAAACTGGGGAGTTGTTCACTCTCTCGTGTCATTCTTAACTTAAAATCCGTGCAGGGTCCCAGGGCAGCAGGGGCTGAGGCCTTCCTGAGCTGAGGCTCTGGACTGATAACCCCGCCCCCCAGCCCAGCAGAGTGGGAAAACTATTTTCGGCTAGGCTAGTACTTCTCTCCGTTCCTGCCCTGCACGAGACCCCTGTGGGGATCTCCAAGCGTCTCTAAGAGTTTGTGAGGTGCGCAGGTTCAGGACACTGATAATCCACCCTGATTCGGAAATAAGCAAATAGATCCCTCCTTCAGTATAGGGATCCCGAAGCCCTCCTTCTCACATTAAGCCTGAAAAACCCCAACTGGGCTCCCTTCTCCATCTTCCTTCAAAAAACTTTTCTGAAGTTTCTGCAAAGTTGGGGTTGGGGAAAGATGTAATCAGACTCTTTGGGTCTCTAGGCCCCCAATTTCTTCCGTTCTCCCCAGTTTCAGAAGGAATCCTTCTAGCTCTGCAAACTCGCGGGGTAGGAAAATTCGCTCTGGACCCATTTATTTGACAGACGCCCTGCCCCTATGCCTTGAATGCCTTCAAGGGTAGGCAGATTGTATCTGCCTGCAGGGCACGCGGGATGGAGTAAGGAGGACAGAGACAGAGAAAGGAGAGACAGATTGTCCTCAGGCTGAAACCCACGCACCCCTCCAGAGCCCAGCTCACCTGCTCCAGACGGACTCCTCTTGATTTTTATCCATTCAAAAGTTTGTCCTTCTCTCAAGCAGTCCCAGGAGGGGCGCAAACTTGGCAGTCGGGGTGCCCCTGAGGGCGCAGGCTTCTGATCCAGAGCGAGCCCCGAGGAAACACCTTCCCCAAAGTGTGAGCTGAAGCAGTGATCCGGGGAGTATGATGTTCAAGCGCCCGGGACAAGGGGCCCGGCTGCTTGGCCTGGGACCGCCGCCGGGGGCCGAGTGGGCGCGGTTAAGAGAGAGCGACCAGCAGGGCCGACCGGGCCTGAGGAACTGGGAGGAGAGTGCCCTGGGTCCCTGGCGATGTCTCTTCGCTTCCTCCAGTGTGTGCCCTCCCGCGTGTGTCCCAGCCAACAACATTCTTTCAACCCCTTCAGGGGCGGCCACTCAGGGCCGGGACAAGGCGAAGAGGGAAAGTGAGGGGGCGAAGAGACCCCCCCTTTAGCCCCTCCCCCAACCCCGCGCCACCGGTCCCCCCCTTTCCTGCCCAGAGCCAAGGGACAGACAGAGAATTGCAACTAGAAATTCGATCGATTGGTACGACGGACCACGTGGTCCAGGGTTGGCCAATGACCAGGACGCCCGGGATGAGCTAATAATGGAAGCAATTTGTAACTTTCAGTAGCTCTCTAGGCCTGAGTACTGGAGGGAGGGAGAGACGCGCCGAGGTGGGGAGATGGGAACCCCCAGTCCTTCTACTCTCCGCTCTCGTGCAGGGACTCCCGGATCCCTTGTTCCTCTTTATCCCCAACACGCAGACACTCTCAGGGTTCCGCGCCCACTTCTGTAAGGCGGCCGCCGCTCCAGAGCAAGGTAAGCGGGTCTTCCGCCCCTGGAACACCCCCTCCCCCATCCTCTCTGGCACCTGCAAACAACGTCCCTTCCTGCCCCATTACGCAATTTAAATCCGATTTTATTTTTCTCTCAGTTGAAAGGAAGCAATCCTTTTATTTATTGTGTGTATAATCTATTTCCAATTTGGGCAAAGATTAAATTCCGATTAATATACTTTTCTTAGGGGAAGGTGACTGGTAGTTTTTAGATCCCTTTTATATTTCCTTCTTTTGGGGAGGAGCATTCTACTCACGGAGAGTTTACTTTTCTTTGGGGATGAGTTACACTTAACTGTTTTTGCAAGTTTCACTTGTCTGATGATGTCAATTTCCCCTGCCTTTCTCCCTCCCATCTTTCAATTTCAATATTTACCAATAATCAGTTAATGGAGTTCAAGTTTCTTTTTTCTCCTTCCTCACTGGTTTTTTAGCTGTTGCTGATTCTCCATGATTTTTTTTTCCCTCCGTGTGAAACTGTTAGTCATGTGTTGATTTCTTTTTTTGTTTGGTAAATGAATTTATTGTTTGGGAAGCTCTGTGGGAGTGTGAACAAGGTCTCTTTTGATTAATTCCAACCTCCTCCTCTTTTGAAGAATAATTTACTTGAAGTATTTTACGTCTTATCGTTATTCTTGTTGATTTTAATCTCTCAATTTTGATGTATTAGACCTCCGTCTAAAACCTGACTTGTTCTTCAAATTTAATCTTTACATGTTAAACCATTTTTAAAGTTTTTGTTTTAAAAACTTCACCATTTTACATTTTCTTACCCTTCCCCCAGTCTCCTTTGCACTCCTTTCTCCTACATCTCAGAACCCTCACCCCCAACCTTCACAATTCCCGGCTTCAAATTTGACTCACCCTGCCAGCCAAAGAGGGACACCTAGGAAGAAGAAATGTCTTGCTTGGGTCAAAGCCTACATTCAGGGTTCTAGTTCTGCCCTCCACCAACACCCCCCCCTCTCCCCAGCAAAATCAGGGAAAGAAGAATTTCTGTTTGACTTTTAGTCTAGGACTGAGCTCTTTCTCCGTGGCTTTATTCGGGACAGCTTTTTGGTTCACAAAGTTGAAATTTTAATTCTCATCTTTTCCCTAAATTCTAAGAAAAGTACAGGCAGGTCTTTTTTTTCTCTCCCCTAAATGTAGGCAGCTAGCTCAGGGTAAGCCTGTTGGGTTTCTTCCCTTCTGGAAGAGGATTCCCGGAAGAAACACAATGTTTAGTCCTCTCTTTTACTTTTGGTTAAGGTGGAGATGGCAGGGATTAGGGCCCCCCCATTTTGATCTCTGGCTCTGGACGGACGGACACAAAGAAGGAAGGGCGAGCTGGCCTAGGGACTCAATCACTTCTGGTCAGTGAGATCTGGCTCAGGATAGTTTGGGGTAAATCTCCCCTCTGAGGAGATTCTTTTTTAGCATTACTGTGAAGTACACCATCAAAAGGCAGCGATGAGGTTCTCATCCTCTTTAGATCCAGTGTAAGCACAAAAATCAAATTACTAGAGTAATCTGTTTCCCAAAGATCCACCTCCCTTGACTCTGCCCGTTTCTCAGAGGGAAACAGAACCCAACTGGGCAGAAGTAAAACTACCACTGCCCCTCCCCTCTGGGTTCTCCAGCTCCGTCATCACATTGACATTCTGGGCACATTTGGCCCAGCCCCCGTCCCCGCTTCTCCCAAGTATGAATCTAAATTACTATTAATAAGGGGCCCGCTCCAAGTTAATTGGCATTAAAAGAATTCATTTCAATTTGTTAATATTAAATGAACGCTCTGCACTTTAGCTCCCTTCTTCGCCCTGGATTCCCAGATGAGTGATGGCAAGTAGGGGTGGGGAAATAGAATGAGGATTTTATTCCTGACTCTCCAGCGAACGCCTCCCCTAGGGGCTGGAGATCAAGGCTCAGTGGGGGGCCTGACTGGGGAATGTCCGATGCTCTTTTTCTTTTCTTTTCTTTTCTTTTCTTTTCTTTTCTTTTCTTTTCTTTTCTTTTCTTTTCTTTTCTTTTCTTTTTTTTTTGTGTGAAATTCATCTGATTCTGTGGGAGCTGTAAATGTGGGAGAGGGCAGAGGGGAGCTGAGGGAGAAGGACAGAAAGGTTTGGACGTAGTTTTGGCAGAGGGGTGGGGGACTGCGGAGGGGTGGGGGTGGGGGAGTGGGAAGAAAGAGGGACAAGCGCTTGGGAGGGGTAGGAAGATAAAAATTGTGGGCTGTTGGGAATAAAGCAGATTTGTCAAGGAAGGTGCTAAAACCCACCTGGAGAAGGAGGAGCTGGGGGCGAGGGGGGAGGGTAAAGCAGGGGTGGGGGAGGGGGTTCTGAAGCTAGCTAGCTGTGTGACTTCGGGCAAGTTGCTGCTTGTTTCTTGATCTGTAAAACTGGAATGGTATTCAACGTTGCTATCTCAGGGGTTGTTTGGGATTTGATGAAATACACGCGATGTGTTTGCCACAGGGCTTGGCCACCTAGAAGCTACCTGTCGACACTGGCTCTTATTAAAGCAGAGCGGTTGCGAGCATGGACTCTGGGGCCCGACGGCCTGGTTTGGAATCTTAGCCCTGCCTTATGCTAGCTGTATGACCTTGGGCAAGTCACTTAACCTCTCCAGATGACAGTTTCCTCTTCTGCAAAATGGAATTAATAGTCCCAGCCCACAGGCTGTTGTGGAAGTTAAATGAGTCGGGGTGTGACCTGCCCGGAACAATGTCAGTGGAGTGAGAAGCACTGTATAAGCATGACTTATTATTGATGTTGCTTTTCTGATCTGAGAAGGTTGGAGATAGAGGCGTGAAACCCCTAGGAGGTTAAGAGCCCAACGGATTCTCTAAGACTGATCAGATCAACCCTCGGATCGAACAACTGGGGTGTATGCAGTGGGGGCAGGAGGGAATGAAGCCCTGAGACCCTGGAGGCTGGGAGGCCTGAGTTCTTCCTCAGCCTCTGCTGTGGCTCTTGGGTTGGTGGTCCCTCTCAGTGCCCAGAGACTTCAAGGGGAAGTCACTGCTCTTTCCCCTGCGAGGGCCATGGTGGGGGAATTACTTCCTTGGTCTAATACCCCCCTTTGGTCAAGAGTCAGTCTCTGGAGTGTGGGCTGGGGGAGGTGGGGAGAGCAGAGGAGATGGATGTTTACTAAATCCCTTCAAGCTCTGTACCAGTCTGCACGTACCCGGCCCCTCCAGAGGGGGGAAATAAAGGGTCCAAAGAGAAGCGACTTGCCAAAGTCATAAAACTAGAAAGTGGCCAAGTTGGAATCTGAACTCTGATCTGCCTAATGACAAGGCTTAACCCCCTTCCCCTGCTGCACACTCTCTGAAGCGGGAGGTGGGGCTTTCTGAAGGGAGAGGCAGGACGCAGGTAAAGTTGCGAAAAGGTCAGTCCAGGACCCTGGGGCAGCCAGAAGGTGGGGGTAGGGAATCGGGGGCGGGGGATGGGAAGCGGCCAAGTGGAAAGACTTGCTGGAGATGAAAAGTGTAGATGGGGCTCAGGTAGGAAGGCAGTGAGGATGGGAGTAAAGAAGAGGCTGGGGGTGGGACACTGGCCAGGAAGGAGAGGCGGGAAAGGCCACGCAAAGGCTGGATGAGGCCAGGGGGCATGGATCAAGTTGGCTTTGCTGACTCCAAGTAAAATCAGGTTTCTTGAGGGCTGAGCACAGTGTTACAGACTGGGTATCGGTGCTCACAATAAGCCTGACAAATAAGCTTGTTATTCCTATTTCCGGAAGAAATAAGAAGTCCGTTGAAGCTCAGAGAGCTGCCCCATTTCCGGTTGCACATCTGGTAGCTGGATTTACCCGGCACTGAAACCCATGCCTGCATGGACCTCCTCCCTGCCTGGGGCTTGCCTTCTATTCCTACTGCACCCCCGCATTTGTAGTCTCATGGAGTGACTAGGAACAGAGGATGGAGAATGGGATGGGACCATGAGGAAGTGGCAGATGGGCAGTGGGGCAGAAGCGTGTCTCACATGTTTGTGAAGAAGATGGATGGAGGGGGGCCGCCTGGGGGGCTCAGTCGGTTGAGCGCCTGGCTTCGGCTCAGGTCATGATCTCACAGTCTGTGGGTTCGAGCCCCGTATCGGGCTCTGTGCTGACAGCTCAGAGTCTGGAGCCTGTTTCAGATTCTGTGTCTCCCTCTCTCTCTCCCCCTTCCCCACTTGCTCTCTATCTCTGTCTCTCAAAATAAAATACATTAAAAAATTTTTTTTCTTAATTAAAAAAAAAGGAAGGTGGATGAAAGGGTGTCCTCCCTGTAGCAAGGCCTCTACGTCACTGTCCTGTGACTGCTGATCTTGGCATCATGGCCATTGGGGAGCACCGTGACCTCATGGGGATCACAGTGTTTTCTGGACTGGGGTCAAGGGGAAGAGGGGGGCTCAGATGTGGGTCTGAGCCCTGGATTAAGGCTGCTGGTTGTTCAGTAAAATCCCTTCTCTCCTGGTTGCAGGAAGGCTGACAGCCTCCCGGCTGGACACCCATTTCACAGCTGCCCTTGCTGCCAGGTGGGGCCAGAGAGGAATGGGAGCCATGTAATGTCATCAGAGGCTGAAGACGTCGGGCAAGTTCTTTCACGACCTGGACCAGATGCCCCTGGCATGGAGCTTTGACCGTGCGGTTGAAGAGACATCCCTAAGCGAGGGCAAAGCCACCGCATCGAAGGAAGCCACGTCCCTGACTGAGCAGATGGAACAGAGTTGCCTGCCGGCCGGAACTGCCCCATGGAGGCTGTTACATGAGGAATAAACTTGTTTTCTAGAAGTTGCTGTGTTTGGGGGCCTTTCTATTAGGGCAGTATTGTCTTCATCCTTCCTGATGCACCTTCTTACACCCGATTTGTGGTTCAGACTCAGCAGCAGGGTCACTTCAGGTCAGGGAGTAGTTATAATAATGACAGTTACTGAGTGCCAGATATTACCCACATTAGTTAATATAATCCTCACCACAGTCCCCTGAGATGGGGATCACTAGTATTCTAATTTACAGGGGAGGAAACTGAGGCCCAGAGGAGGTAAGTGATGTGCCAGGGAACACACAGTAAGTGGTAGGACTGGGGCCCCAACCCTGGAGTGTGCAGAGCCTGAACTCTCTATACAGGGCAAGTCCCTTCCTGCAGACGGAGAAGGAGGGGACCTTGGAGATCATGTAATGCTTGGCCAAACGCCTTCGCAGTCAGGACAGGGGCCTGGGCATTTCTCATCCCGCCTCGTTTCAACCCAAGAAACTCAGGTGGACACCCCTGTTAGCTATTGGGTTGCTACTTAAGATTCTATATGAGGGGCGCCTGGGTGGCTCAGTCAGTTGAGCATCTGATTTCGGCTCAGGTCATGATCTCACGGTTCGTGAGTTCGAGACCTGCACTGGGCTCTGCGTTGATAGTGGGGAGCCTGCTTGGGATTCTCTCTCTCTGCCCCGCCCCCGCTCATACTTGCTCTCTCTCCCAAAACAAATAAACCTTAAAAAAAAAAGATTTTATTTGAAGAAAGGACCCTATAGCGAAAGCCAGTTTTAAGCCCCTGATCGGTTTAATCTCTCCACCCTCCCACCCCCGTCCTTTTATTACAGATGAAGCCAAGAGAGAGAGCAAGTGACTCATTTAAGGTCACACTTAGATATTCTGTCCACTTTCTGAATCCAAGATGAATTCTCTTCCCACTGTATCAGCTGCCTCAACCAGCAGCAAGGACGGAAGTAACTCAGACCAGGCAGGGGCCCCTGTGTCTCATCTGATGTGCTTTGGGATGGCCAAGCCATGCTTCCCTCATTTCCCCTGCACCCCTCCTGTTGCATCAGCTTCAGAGACCCGCCTCCCTGGGCCTGCACCTCTTCTTCAGTTGCCTCCCCACCCAGATGGTCAAACATGTGGAGGGAAAGGAACAGGGGCCCGAGCCAAGCTCCCTGACTCCTTCCAGTCTTTCCACATTTATATCTCCCTCCTCTCCCTGCCCCCCCACCCTCAGGCCCCTTCTGAGTAGCCCACCAGGGAGGAGAAGGGGGAAAACTATCATAAATTTCCCCTATTTATACAAGAAGACAGAATGTTTCTTGTGCCAGAAAAAACACAGAGAGGGAGCTGTCAGGGGAGAAGAGACCCAGCCCCATACCTTCTGGGGCCAATTTATCTTCTCGAGTCATGGCTTGGGGGCTACCATGACACCGCCTGTGGGCCGTGCAGGCTCTGGCTTGGGGGCGCAGCCAGGACCCGGCAGGCCTCGCGCTTTGTTTCCAACCACAGCCATCCTGCTCCATCTCAAAGCCCCTTCCCCTTCTTGCCCGTTCGCTCTCTTTAAACAAACTTCTTGAGAACGAATTTACCTCCCCTACAGTTCACCATCGAAGTGTATAATTTGGTGGTTTTAGTGGATTCACAGATAGGTGCGACTATCGGCACAGTCAATCTGTGCCCCCAAAAGAAATCTCATCGCCTTGACTTTTCACCCCCATGTCCCCCCATCCCCTCCCTCCCCAAGCCCTAAGCAACCACCAATCTGCTTTCTGTCCCTGTCAATTTCTCTGTCCTGGACTTTCCTATAAACGGAATCATGACGTGTGGTCTTCGTGACTGGCTGACCTCACTTAGCATAACGTTTCCAAGGGCCATCCACGCTGCAGGTGTATCCATACTTCAGGATAGCTCAGTCCTTTTCATGGCCGAATAATATTCCATCGTATGGATGCGTTTCGTTGTGTTTATCCACTCTTCAGTTGATGGATACTTGGGTTGTTTCTGCCTTTTGGATATTACGATTCTCCCTTTACTCTTCCATCTCTAGACATCCTGGATCACACACATTGAGGTCTGTGGTCTTAGGTGTGGGAGCAGCCAATAGCCACAAAAGCAGGGCCTCAGGTCATGTCTTCTTTTGGGTGAATTACGCACTACTGGCTGGGATTTCCCTCTCTCTGTGAAGTGACTAAGAGGCGGCTACTCCTTCCACTGGCTATTGATTCTTTTTTTATCCTTCTTATTTTGGTCACTTGCTGTATTCTTCAGACTGGGGGACTCAAACCCATCTCTAGGTCTTTTAGAGAAGCCTAAGCAGATGCATGGCTATCTTCCCACTGGGGGGAAGTTTCCTGGAGTCTGGTCTCCAGGGACATTCCAGTATCTCATAGTGGAAGAGGTTTGTGGAGGCTCCAGGTCAAGGGAAAGTTTGGTTCCTAGAGGCCTGACTGAGCCCAAAATGCAAGCCTCCTGCGCCTACCTCCTGGTCTG